GAAAGGGGTATTTTAAACCCTCTGTCCCTAGAGGGCCTGCATGTGCTCAGTGGATGTCTGTGGGTAATGGCAGTGGGACCATTCTCCCCTATTCTTTGGTTAAAATGGTATACTCGAAAATGTTCATACTGTTTTTCTTTTCTTTTTTTTTCCAGAGGGGGCATGCACTCACCAGAGACAGAGAGAAGAAAAGGAAAATACATCTTCCATAAGGACTGGCCACACCACGGTCTCTTCTTCCAGGATTTTGGGCACACACCTGGTGTGTTTCTCAAGCTGCCACATCCGGAACTAGAATCACATGGTCGGACATGTGGGATACAGCTGCCTTAACCAGGTCACAGAGCCTGCCTCCACGCCATATCTCTTTTTTTCTTTTTTTCTTGAGAGAGGTTTTTTACTATAGGGCACATGCACTCGCCAGACAGAGAGAAAGAGAGACAGAGAGACAGAAAGCAAGAAATCACCCCCAGGGGGGATGGCCACGCCACAATCCCTTCTCCTCCATTCTCCTCTCGGGATCTTGGGCACGCACACACATGTGCCCAGCATGAGTTTTAAGCCACTGGGTCCTGGATGCGCACCGCAGTCGACTACACGGGAGTCCAGTGACATAGCCATTATGCTAACTGCTGGTCCCAGGAATTCACTTCTCAAATGTTTGCTGGGGGGACTAGCAGATTGTGTAGTGCTTAAGGTCCTGGACTTCCCCATGATCCACAGTGGTTTGAGCCCTGGAACCAGCAACTTGAAACTCACACCTCGTGTGTGTGCATTGCTTGCCCAAAATACAGATTGGAGAACGAAGGAGAGAAAGAGAAAGAGGTTAAGGAAAGAGAAGGGACTGTGGTGTGGCCATCCCCCCTTGTGGGGGTGATTTCTCACTTTCTGTCTCTGTTTCTCTGGCAAGTGCACGCACCCTACAAGAAAAAGCTCTCAGCAAAAACAAAACAACAACAAAAAACTACCTAAAAAAAATGTTGGCTGGGGCAAGCTCTCAAGGTGAAATAATGGGTGTATGTATTTTTTCCATCAGATTTTCAATTCACACTGAAATCCACTGCAAAGGGTGTGGGGATGTGATGGGCAAACGCATGATCGATTCAGTAGCAGCTGCCTTAAGAAAGACGATGAGGCCTCATGTGGGCTCCAGGAGAGACTGTGCTCGGATGGATTAGTGATGTCTGCCACAGGCACAGCTGCACAGGCGAAGCACACGGGTGTGGCACAGCCCCGAGTGATGCGTACTAAGGGACACATGCCAGGATCTGCCATCCCAGCTCTACTACTTAGTCCAAATCTAATTTCACTGAGTTCCCTTTTTCTAACTAAAGCAAGAGGTCGGGATAGAGGATTCCATCTTCCAAATACGTATTTCTGCATGTGGTTCTTTTTATAAAAGTTTGGGGAATACTTGTCCTGGTGACTCAGGTTCAAGGTCAACATCATGGGCTGAAAGTCTCGCCTCTTTCCAGAAGCGTGGAGCAAGGATTGTTTCTCGGAAGCAGTCAGAAGAGACTTAGCCGTGAGCTTTTCCACCAAAGATATCCAGGAAAGTTCTTTCCAAAAGCTGCCCCAGTCAGGACCACGTCACAACCCTGCTGCCAGTGCAGCTACCCCTGCCACTCCAGGAGATGCAAGACCCCTCTCCAGCCTGGGCTCTCCCATCCGTCTGTGCATCAAACACAACCCTGAGATCAGGGTGACGATGTTCAGATGCGGTTTCAGACATTTTCTCTAAAACCATTTAATAAACCCTCGAACCACTCCTGTCATTCCACCATGGCAAAAAAAAATTAACATGCTTCCCAGCCAGAATAAAGCCGTGTCCTAGGGCTTCGGCAAACTCGAAATACAAAGCAACCCCGTTCTTTTGCCTTGTGTCTAGTCTCCTCAGCCAGAAAAAGCCTTGTTTTCCTAATGCGAGATATCAAAGAAGCCCATTTCATACTTTAGCTCTGAAGAAGTCCACTACACAGTGAAGTGCACCATTAAGTGCTGACAGACTCCATCTCCAGCTTCTTAATCACATTTATTATATTTCCAAGAAAATCTCCCTCATCAAATTCCATTCCCCTAATCAAATTATATTGTTTAAAAAGGCAATTTTCCTTCACACTTGCTGTCCTCTCTGCGTTTCAGTAACGAACACCCTCACTCCCACCACCCCAGCTTCTAAGAGCACAGAGCCATTGAAAAAGGCAGCAGACTCACCTACGTTCTCCGGCTAAGAACAAACCACTTAAGGCCAGGGTCATTTAAAAGTTTCCTTTGAATAAGTTCAATGGTTATAATGGAATAAAAGCTTTTAGGAACAAAGGTATGTTAGAATGAGAAAATAAGTCAAAATATGTTGCTTTTATCAAGATTTCAAGAAATGTTATCTTAGGCCAGCTCAGTGGCCCCAGAGTTAAGGCAGCCTGATCCCACACAGCTGACTGCATAGTTCGAAACCTGGCCCCCGCCGCGTGAGGAACACGCCAGGTGCCGGGCACATGTACACATGTGCCCAAACTCCTGACAGGATAAAGAAAAGGAGAAGGAATTGCAGCATGACCACGCCCCACTCTGAGGGCTTTCTCTCTCTGAATTCAAAAAAAATAAAAAAGAGAGGAATATTCTCTTTAGTGAAAGTCCACTTTGCCTGTAAAAGTGAACTGAGAATATTTTTTAAATCAAGACATACTATATTTTAAAGTGTGAAAATCATATGAGTCCTTGCTATTGTTTCACATCACAATTGGTAATTTGTGCAATGAGATATAAAGATACCAGGGGAATTTTCTGTTCAAAATTAATGCCTTGTCTGTTTTAAAAGCTTCTCAAATTTACCAATACTGAAATTATTTAAATAAATATCTTAGGGAGGAAAAAGGCACAGGGCCCCGGAGACGGGTATCAGGACATGAAGAGCCATAGACAGGACTCGAGGGGCCTGGAACCACAGCCCAGCTGGGCCACAGTGCAGGAGGCTGCAGGTTCTCCACAGGTGCACACGCTGCTCAGCCCCGGGGGGCCTCTTCCCTGACCACTGCCTGTAGGAGTCCCGTCTGGAGGGACGAAATGCAACCCGACAGAAGGCAGAGGAGCAAAAGCAGCCCACCCCACGCCGAGACCAGGACTAAAATTCCACCGCTACTCACGCATCACCTGAGCCTCTGACACATGGCGCTTTTGCAAAGAAAACAAACTCAAGTTATACGATGCAGTAGTGTTTACAGACAAGCAGTGCAAGAACATCGTTAGGCATATTCTGGCCGGTGGAGTGTGGAATTCATGCTCTGTGTGGTATGGGATACTAAACTGAATAATTTTTTTGTTTTGTTCTTTTCTTTTTTACATAGGGCATGTGTGCTCACCAGAAAGAGACAGAAAGAGATAGACAGGGAAAGTGAGTGATAACCCCCCAGAGAAAATGGCCACACTGCAATTCCTTTTTCTTCATTCTCGTCTTGGGATTGGGGACACACTTACACACATATGCCTGATGTGTTTGTTTCTCAAGGCCCTGGGTCCTAGCTTTGAACCACACTGTCAGTCGAATGGGATTCAGCCACTTTAACCTCCACACCACCTGCTGCCAGTCCAAATAAAAACTTTATTTTTTTAGAGAGAAAGTTTTGCTATAGGGCACGTGTGCTTGCCAGAGAAAGAGACAAACAGACAAACAGAAAGTGAGAAATCATCCCCCCCTACCCCCAGTGGGGATGGCCAGGCCACAATCCCCTCTCCTCCATTTTTCCCTTTTCCTTTTATTATTATTATTTTTTTAGAAGTTTTTGCTATAGGGCGCGTGTCCGCGCCAGAAAGAGAGAGACAGAAAGACAGAAAGCGAGAAATCACCCCCCAGGTGGGTGGCCATGGCGCAATCCCTTCTCTTCCATTCTCCTCTTGGGCGGGCCGGGGGCCTGAGTTTAAGCCCCCAGGGCCAGGACTCAAACCACAGCCGACCACATGGGAGTCCAGTGACAGCCATTATGCTAACTGCTGGTCCCCTCCTCCATTTTTTTTCTTCGGATTTTGAGCACACACACACACACACACACTGTGAGTTTGAAGCTGCCAAGTCCCACGCTCGAACCACGGTCTGCCATGTAGGAGTCCAGTGATGTAGCCATTATGCCATCTGTTGGCCCCCAAATAGAACCTTTTTGTATTTCAAAGTTACAAACCAATTTGCGGCCAGCAAGTAGCTTGATGGTTAAGGTGCTAGACTCCTACATAGTTAACTGTGGTTCGAGTCCCAGACCAGGCAGCTTGAAAATCACACCAGGCATGTGTGCACACACGCCCAAAATCCTCAGATGAGAAAGAATGGAGGAGAAAGGGCTGCAGTGTGGCTACGCCCCTGGGGGCGATTTCTCTCTTTCTCTCTCTTTGTCCCTCTCCAGCAAGCACACACACCCTGTGGCAAAACCTAAAACAAAAAAACTAAAACCAAGTTAAAAAGTTTTGGGGGTTTCGTTTTGTTTTGTATTATTTTAACTAAAAGAGATTCAGCTTATCCTTTTGAGTTTTTCAACAAGATTCTACCTTCCACAGGAAGACAACCCACAGGGCCTAGAGAAAGTAAGATTTTATGTGCTTTACAAGGATAGTTTGAAAACTACTGATCTATAGCTTTCGAATTTTTCTAGGAAGCTAAGTTTAAAATGACACACCTCTGCTAACCGGAAAACAGCAAATATGCCACACCCCACACCTTTAACCCTTTCCTTTTTGCCACAGAGCTCCACCTGTCTACAGTAACGAAACAAAAAGTCACGTGTTTTTATTTAGGTCAAGAAATGTAAGCATTGGACAAGAACAGATCACACAAGTACACGGTTTCGTTCTGAATATACTGACTGTCACGGCCATGAATACGTCTTTACTTTAAAATGCAATGACCTGCTTTGGGTGTTTCCTTGTCTGACACACAAAGCCTCCAAATGCCTGCCTCGGTGGACTCCCAGACCGCAACCAGCCTGTGGTAGTGTAAAGCACCACACAACAATGTGTGTTTACATCACCCTTTTATTTCATAATTAGAAATAATACAGTTCCACAGGGTAAATCATCAATAAATAACGGGGTTTAATCATTAAACGTAAAAATCCCAACTCTTTGGCATCTGACAGGATTCTATTTCTTGTCAAACTAATGACTGTAGAGATATAGTTAATCTTAGTGATCATTCGTTGATACAATATGTTACAAAGGTGCAATTTACTTTAAAATATACAACAGCTGAAAATTTCCACCCCCGTCAAGAAATCTGACCAACTCAGTAACTGACACAGCCAGCTTCCTCAAGGCTCTTTCATTTGCCTTAGTGAACACATAATAAATGTGGATGAACAGTTTGCTAGAGTTTTCTTATACTTACTCTGCTCTAAAGAAAGTTTGTCATTCATCCTGGCTAAAGACAAACCACAATTGCACCAGGAATGACCCACTCATTAATGAAGAGGTGTTCTTATTCTATAAGCAAAATTGCTAAACACCTAAGAAACTCACAGCCCCCCCTCCAAAAATAAAACTGAAAACGAGCAATTCTATGCTGCTGGAAATGCCAATTTGGTAATAAATTGCACCTTCAAGAGTCCAAAAAAAGGGGAATAAAATAGAAACGTTTACAAAAGGTAAATTACATACATTTTTTTGTTTGTTTCAAAATCTATTCAAGAATAGTTGAGCTGTATTTGTTACTAAAGCTAGGGCATTATTTCTTTAGCAACAAATTAAACCAGTGCAATTGACATAAATTGTTAAGTAATCCAGGATTAACCCATTAAAACTGCAGAAGCACTTTAGGCTCCTGCACTAATCCCAGAAACTGGACTTGCGCTCAGTGCTCACGCTGCACGGGAACTAAAACTGAAATGACCTGATGCCATGCTGAACAGTGTCGCTCGATCCTTAGTGTGGCATTCGGGAGTAGAAATCAGGAGCTCCTCTATTCAAGTCCAATTCGCTCACAGAAAATTCAGATGCAAACAGTGTGATGCCTATAATCCACAATTAAAAGAATCCTTTCCATTTTAAAGTTCCAGATGAATTTTAAATTAGAAAATATGCACTAAGGAAACGTTTTCAACTTAGGAAAACTCCACATTGGAAGCTTTCTGGAAAAGCTTCCCCCACCCGCCCATTGTAAAATAAATACTTTGTATCCCAAATTTAATTTTATTAAGACACACTTTAATAATGCTATAAAGAAATATTTTACAGCCATAGAGATCAATAACTTTCCATGCGGAAATAAAAAAATTCATTGCTCAATAGTATTATTGAGGCAAGTGAAGAAAGATTATTCTCTTAATCTGAAATGTTAGGTTTTTTGTTTTTTTTTTTCAGTGCAAAACCAGTTATAAAATATTTAAACTCAATATTTAAAAATAAAAAGTGGTCCAATTCGGCAATGTTCAAGTTCTAAATTTCATAAAACAAACCATTACATACAGCTTATAGTAAAATACAGAGATTCAAGAAGTACTTGAATACTTAAGATATAAATTTCTAATGGATCAAGTCAGCAACACCCAAGCAGATAACATTCCCAATTTGAGCGTCAGAATCATAAAGATGAAATTACTGCACCAAAGCCTTTTTTCCCCTAGCTAAAAAGCTATACAAACTAATGGTCAACATTCTGTTTTCTTTGCAGTGCTCTAGACTGACCTCCCCCCCCAAGTACCTGTGATTTCCTTCCTGTATTCGAAATTGGATCCAAACAATTGTTATGTTCCAGCCACGCTTAGCTGATATAACCATCTATAACGTGAAGAGTCATGTACAGAGTAGACAGCGGGTTTTTCTACCCCACGCCGGTCGGCCTAAACTGGGTGAGACGCTCTGCAAGTGCTCATGTGTTACTCCGAGCAAACACACGGTCCCCTCGGAGGGTGAGGTGCTGAAGCTGGTACTGGAGCACTTCCGTGTCGGCGGGCTCCTTGATGTTCATTTTATCTAGATTGAGGTAGTCCAGAGATTTGGAGTGAGCCCTCTTACCTTTAAGAAGACAGAGAGGCAGAGGCCCATGGAGGGCCTTGTACGGTTCATAAGGTAAGGATTTAGTGCACTTGTCTCCTGAGCTGGGCATCCGCCTTCGCCTCCTGCCATTGACAGCCGGGATCTCGTAGGGCTGGTAGTACCTACTTCTGGTTTTGTACAAGCGAGAGGACCGGCCGAGTCCTGCCTCCAGCTGCTTGGAGCGCAAGGAAGGCATGGCTTCTCCCTTGCTCTCCTCGCCTCCCGTGCACTTCTGGGCTAACTTCAGGAGTTCCTCACCAGTCGTGAAGCCAACCAGATAGTTCGAGTCCATGTGGAGGATCTGGTAGCCCGACACAGTCCGCCGCATCGGGGAGCAGGGGGTGCTGGAGCAGCGGGGCTTCTCGGCCTCCGCCTTGGCCGGAGAGCTCGCCTCGGCCGCGGGGAAGGGCAGGGTGGCCAGGGTACTTCTGGACTCTCCATTAATATCTACTTCCATTTTAGGCACCAGTCCGCACACTCCTACAAGCAAACAGACTCCAATTAGAAAAATATACAGCAGACAACCTGAGGCCCAGGGATCCTCTGAGGAGGCTGGGGAAGCATGAAATAACACTGCCTGGAAGATGCGGATAGGCGACCCACAGATTTTTATCTCTGTCTACTAAACGTTTCAGAGCAGGCGTGAAATGACAGGGCTGCTCGGCCTTCAACGGCTCAAAGGCAGGATAAATGAAGGTTTGAAGCGCTACAAAAAGGTTCAGAGGAGAGGCAACGGAAAACAATGCTTCTCTAAATCCAGCACTTCATCCAATCACGAAAAGCGTATTCCTTGGTGCGATAGTAAGCACAGTGGACACAGATCTCAACGTTAAGGAAGTAGAGCAATCACTTCCAGTTTCACAAAAATCCACAATGTACTTCTGACTTGAAAATTAAATTCAGCCATCATTTAGTTTACAAGTTAAGTGCTTTGATCTTCATGCCTGCAATTTTTTTTTTCAATTGTACTTAAGGGGCAGACAGTAAAATGTACTGAGCTAACCAATTTCTGCAAAGAATCCAATTTGGATTTTAAAAAGTATGTTTAGGGTCTTACATACTTAAAAAGTATGTAAAAGTCTTAGAGAAAAAAGGTCCCCCAAAACTCATTAATGTTCTTTCTTTCATATGCCAAATAAATCAAAGAAAACCATTTTGTAGTTTCAAATTTAATCCTATATCCAATACACCACCTAATTTTGAATATTATAAGTATTTTTGTAGGGCCAGCAGGTGTCATAGTAGTAAAAGCACTGAATTCCCACATGGCTGACTGCATGGAGTCCCAGAACTGGTGGCTGGAAAATCACACCAGGTGCATGTGCGTGTGTGCCCTGAATCCTGAGAATGGAGGAGAAGGGATTACAGCATGGCCATCCCTTGAGCAGTGATTTCTCATTTTCCCTCTCTCTTTCTCCCTCCTTCCTCCGTGAGAGCCCCTGACCTATAACAAAATAAATAAATAAATAAATAAATAAATGATAAACAGTATGTTGTAAAATGTCGTTTTACTAGACAATTTAATAATAAATATACCATTGATTTGACAGTTACCAAAGTCACTGTACTATTGAGAACTTTCATACACGGCAGAACAATTCACAATGAATACTAATATTGCTCATTACAATTATCACATTACATGGTTTGGAAAACACCACTGACAAGAAGTAATAATGGCTAGATTCCTTGAAAGTTGAAGATAAATCACATTTTAGAAAAGAAAGTACTAAGGGAAACAGTGACAGTGCCATTTCTCAGACACCTTATTTTCATTTGCTCTCCAATTAGAAATAGATCAAAGCTTTATGAATCTCAGGTTGCTGGGCCAGCAGGTGGCATGGTGGTTAAAGGCGCTGGTCTCCCACATGGTTGGCCACAGTTCAAGTTCCAGATCTGGTGGTTTGAAAATCATGCTGGGCACATGTGTGTGTGTGTGCCCAAAATCCCAGGAGGAGAATGGAGGTGAAGTGACTGCAGTGTGGCCATCCCACCCCGCCCAGGGGTGATTTCTCACTTTTCTTCTCTCTGTCCCACTCTGCTGAGCACATACGCCCTATGGCAAAATAAACTAAAATAAAATAATCTCAGAACCAGCAGATGGCGTAACAGTTACGTTACTGGACTCCCACATAGTCGACTGTGGTTCGCGTCCTGGACCCAGTGGCTTGGACTCACACCGAACATGTGTGTGTGCATGCTCAAGGTCCCAAGAAGAGAATGGTAGAGAAGGGATCATGGCATGGCCATCCTCCCGGGGGGAGGGGGGTGCTGTTGATTTCTGTCTTTCTGTCTCTCCCTGTTTCTCTGGCAAGCACATATGCCCTATAGCAAAAATGAGTCTAAAAAAAAAAAAGAATCTCAGATTGCTTATAAAAATGCTATCAGGTAACTAATTTTAAGATAAAACTTTATGAAAAATGACCACTCTATTAAGTAACTCTGGTGGACTCTTTTATAAAACAAAGAACCATTTCCTAATTGAAACACGTCCTAAACCTTGGGTTTTTTAAATCCAAGCAATCAGAAAGGTAAAAACCAAAACCGTGCACCTCCCTTTGAACATTCTACCTACTCTACTCCCCCTCCTCAGAAGGCTGCGAAGTTGCCAGCGGCCATCCTGCCCTCCCTGGTCCCTCACTGCTGGGACAAACATCCACAGGGATTCCACAGATAATCCAACCCAAAGGGATAACACAGTAGTCGCTGCATAGCTAAGCCTTAGACTACGTCCAATCTGAATTTACCCAAGATAGCCTAGTCTCGCGGCACTTCCAGATTTCAAGTTACCGCATGTATTATGTTTCATTAATGGACAAATACATTTTTACTTGATGGTGCATTTCCTTCTCCACTGACAGGATCGGGGTGGGAGATGACTACCGGCTACTCTGACGTGACTGCAGTGAACTGTGAGGCCACCAACTTTTTATGTTAAACATTTACCTGTGCCTTCTGCAGCCCAGAGGACAGGGAGACATAACCAGGGTTTCTGACCTAAGATCCTGACAGGCAGTTACAGACTGGGTACCTCACAAGGGGAGTCACTAAGGGGACACTCACTCGAGCCATCTGCACTGGGACACTGGGGTAGGTCCCTCCAGATCTGGCCCTCCGTGACAGACCGTGGGTTCCCACAGGGACAACTTTCCTGCACTATTTAATACACTACTAACTTCCTGAAATGCAAGAATTCAGACCTCACCCACTCTGAAATGGGTAATAAGTGAGGCTGAAATTCATCATCTTTTTTGCCGGTGAGGGAGAGAAGCGGGGAAGCGGTTAACAGTGTGCAAACTCAGAGTAAAGTGGGGTGGGCTCCGGCCTGGGCCAGCAGCAGCATCCACAGCTGCTTCCCGCCGATCATGCACACGGTCAGGCATTCTCAGACTCTCGGCGGCAACATATAAAGGTCAAGAGTGAGGCAGAAGTGACATACTAACTAGAAAACGAGGACTTGGAAAATTAGGGAAGTGAAGGAAGGAGATGAAGAAACAATTATCAAAATTTGATGTGACACGAAGTAGTCACTACTGTTAGATGACAACTCTTATGTGATACGTTTCTTTCATCCAACAGCACCATAAAAAATACCTGTCTTTGGGCCAGCAGGTGGCATGGTGGTTAGGGTGCTGGATTCTCACGTGGCTGACTACGGTTCGAGTCCAGGACCTGGCAGCTTGAAAATCACACTGGGCATGTGTGCATGTTGTGTGCCCAAAATCTCGAGAGGAGAACAGAGAAGGGATTGCAGCATGGCCTTCACCCTGGGGAGTTATTTCTCACTTTGTCTCTCATTGTCTCTCTCTGGTGAGTGCACATGCCTTATATCCTATAGCAAAAACCTTTAAAAAAATAATAAATGAACTGTCTCAAACAGAACAATCCAACAGGATCTTCAGGCAGCTACAAAGCAGACAATGGTCTAACCCGGACTATTAAGTAGAAGAAAGAGATGGGTTTCCTAGTTTTGGAAATTCCAATCAAGTAGCCTGTAAGAAACCAATCCCTCTGTTGGTTTGTTTTTCAGGTTTTTGCAATAAGGCCCACATGCGCCTTATTGGGGAGAGAGACAGAGACAGAGGGAAAGTGAGAAATCACCCCCCAGGGGATGCCCACTCTGCAATCCCTTCCCCTCCATTCTCCTGAGATTTTGTGCATGTATACACACATGCCCAGCATGATCTTCAAGCTGGCACATTCAGGACTTGAACTCCGTTCAGCCATGTGAAAGTCTGGCGCCTTAACCACCACACCATCCGCTGGCCCCAGAAACCAATCATGTTTTACTGAGAAGAAAACACACTCACTACAGAAACACCATTTAACCGATAAGTTAAAGAAATAAGCATCCCTAACATCCTCAAACTAAACATCCACCCTAGCACCTAAGGCCAATACGAACAGGTCAATACTCCAGGTGAAATTTCGGAATGAGGGTCTTGCTGTACCGGAGCATGAAAGGGCTCATTTTAAATACTACCTCTACAGCTGATCAATCTGCTGAACTTCCGATGAACTTCTGATTCCAAGAGCTTGAAGACTGTCTGCATTTTTAACTGTCAAATATCAGTACTTCTCGTCCAAACAACAAATACTTTATTCTCAATGCTAAACACTCTTCCAGGAGGCTTCACTGGTCTGGGCAGCGTAGGGCCTTTTGTACAAGAACATCGTCTTCAGGTCAGGGCTGACCCAGGAATTCGAATGATGGAACCAGGGCTCTCTAAATGGCTTACTCTTTTGAAAAGGCTCTTCTTAACTTCTAAAGAATTATCTACCATGAGGCACTAAGAAAGCTAGGTGGAGGGACCAGCAGATGGTGTAATGGTTACATCACTGGACTCCCACATAGTCGACCGCAGTTTGAGTTTTGGACCCAGCAGATTAAAACTCACACAAGGCATATGTGCGTACATGCCCAAAATCCCGAGAGGAGAATGGAGAAGAAGGGACTGTGGCATGGCCATCCCTCCTGGGGGATGATTTCTTGCTTTCTGTCTCTCTCTGTGTCCCCAGCAAGCACACCCGCCCTAAGGCACAAATCTCTCTCTAAAAAAAAGAAAGCAAGCTAGGTGGAAGCTGGATTTCGGAAAAGACAGCACTGGCCAGTCACGGGGCTCAGCAGTGACACGAAGCTCCTACGCCCAGCCGCATGGGAAGGCCTCAGGGTCACCTCACAAGACCTTCTATAGAGACTGGGTGTACACACATGCCCGAGAGCCTCTTGGGGGGCTGGCTGAGCCTGAGGCTGGATGGTGGCAGAAGACACTGCTGGGGGAGAGCAGGAGTCTCTCTCTCTCTCCCTCTCTCTTTTAGAAAAAGCAAACTTGAAAAGGAATAAAAAAGCACCGACTTTTTTATTTTTAGTTCATGGAATGCTGACTAAGCAGCATACTTCCCATTCTTCAATGTGTCAGGAAATAAAACGTTTTATGCTACCGAATTCCTAACATTTCCTGTCCTGTCTGGATTTGAGT